CGAAGTCTGTGGAAAAATTGGCTCCTAACTTCAGAAATAAAACTAAATATATTCATTATAGAAATTTGAAATTATATGTACAATTAGGTTTAAAAATTTAAAAAAAATACATCAATTTGTAAAATTCAAACAAAGTCCTCGGTTAAAAAATTATATAGATTTTAATACTGAACATCGAAAACGAGCAAACAACAATTTTGAAAAAGATCTCTTTAAACTTTTAAACAATGCCGTGTTTGGTAAAACAATGAAAAATTTACGCAAAAAGTTAAGATTTATCTAGTGAATAGAGAGAAAAGAGCTAAGAAATTCATAGCATCTCCAGCATTTCATGCTTATAAAATAATTAATAACGACCTTGTATCTATTCAAAGAAAACTCACTTCTTTTTATTGAAATGACCCATATATTTGCTTCCAAATCATTTTCTCTTTATAATCCTTTAACTAATAATGTTCTCGGAAAAATGACAGATGAGTTAAATGGTATGGTAGCAACTGAGTTCGTAGGTCTCAATGCAAAAATGTACAGCATAAAAACATTAACTTTAGAAAAATACAGCAAAAAGATACATATATCTATTTTAAAAGTAAAATTTCTCATGAAGACTATAAAAATTGCCTCATAAATAAGTATAGAAGTCGTGAAGAGTTTAAACCCATTATAACAGTTCTATACATCAAATACATTCTGTAAAAAGTAAAAAAAAAAAAAAAAAAAAATTCACTTTGCCCCTTCGATAAGATATATTCTTGAAGATGGTATTACAACTTTAGCTTTCGGTAACTGCCATATAAATGAAAACTAATATTTTATATAAATGAGAATTTAATTCAATAGTTTCTTTTATAAATATTGATTTCTGTATATATCTTATTCTTTCATGTTTAAGAATGTAAATGTTTCCTCTTCATTTTATGCATATACCTGTCGAATGTATTTATTATTCATATTGAATGATGTTACTTATTTCAATGCTTCTCATATAATACATTTTAAAAAATATAAGATTAAATTAAGTTTTCTGTTAGCACATTGTTTTATAAAAGGAAAATTGTTGAGATCTGAAGGACTTTATTTATTGAGAAATGGATTAACCAAGGGATATTCCTTATTTCTATGTGGTCATTATTTTATATTTTTCTTGTTGAAAATCAGTAAAGGCTTTTCAATGAATTATATTTTATATGAATTTGTTCGTAGCAAACAGAAAGATTTCAGATTGCATCAATATTTTAAGAAATGATATAATGTAAGAATAAATTTTAGAAGGTGAATAAATAGAATATTTTTTGTTCTCATATTTTGTGTTTGTATTATTATTATTATAAGATGAATAAGATTTTGCTTTGAATTTTTTTATAAGTTTACCATATATTTAAATTTATAAAGTTATTATTATTTTAAGATTAATATGAAAAAAAGAAATTTTATCACTATTGCTCTTAACTTAAATACTTAAGTCCACCAACAATATTCTAAATATTTCAATATTTTTCATCTTTTTCAATACTTTTCAACTTTTTTTTTTTCAATATTTTTTCAACTTTTTAATTACTTTACTCATATTAATATATTTAAGTGTAAGGAACAAGAAGGGAAACAGACTAAAAATTAAAAACAAATGTTGAAGAGCACACAAACCACACTTAATATTCTATCCATGACAAAGGTTTTGCATACAATGTTTTTGTTCTGAGATATTTATTCGTAACAAAACTCTATGAAAATTTTTTCTTTTGAAAAATTCATTAAATGATTCGAACGAAAGGTTTTATTTTTCTATCTCTCACTAAGTGGATAGTCAAATTTGCAGCATTTGTATTTCGTATAGTTTTCCAATCATAAATTTCGATTGAGATGGATACATTTGTCTTGCTAGACAAGAGATCTATTGCTTGTCTCTAACATTTTTAAAACAACTTAGGTAGGAAGTATTTAAAAAAATATTTCTATAATTTGTTTTTCATTGCAAAAAATATTTTGTAAAATAAATATTACGGAAATATCTCTATGATGGCTTCCTTTCGTGAACAAGTTTGAAAGTTCTTTTGTCATCTCCTACTTCATTCATTAAGTCATCTATTATTACGAAAGCATTAGTAATATCTTCTACATCGAAAGGCATGCCTTCATGAAATTCTATGTCAGACATCTTATCAAACAATTTTGGAAAAATTCCATAACGCCAAATAATTTTGTGGGAGGAAAAGAATTAATTAATTTTATGTCTAAGATTCGTCTAACAAAGAAAGTTTTACCAGAATTACAAGGTCCGCATATATTATCATAGGAAAGGGATGTTTCATGTAAGGAAACTACTTTGCAAACGAAAAAACATATAAAGAACTTTTACTTTATATAAGCATAGTATTTTTTAAGTTATCTCAGAATTATAAAAAAATACATGCAAAATCAATGAAAAATATATTTTAGTTATGCACAAAGTATCAAATTTGAAATGTAATAAACAATAATTCAACACGTATATCATAATTTTCAGAAATAGACTTTATCAGAATTATATACAAATATTTATATGTACAGAAAAGTTTGACCCTTTATCCTAATTAAAATTTGCTTCCAATGACGTACTTAAAAAATCAGAATTCTACCCATTTAGTTTAAACTATATAAGAATATAAATTGTTATCTCTAAAAACATGCATTTCTAGCACCCATTTACAGAGCCCCGAAACCCTTATCAGAGCGGAGGGGTACCATCCTCCCGGTTCAGACCCGGGGGGATTTCCACTCCCTTTCGTTTGCCTAATTTTCAATCCTCTGTTTCAGAAATCACAAGCACAAAGCATCAAATTTGAAATATAACAAATAATCATTCAACACGTATATCATGATTTTCAGAAATAGATTTATACGGAATTATATAAAAATAATCATATGTACAGAAAAATTTGTCTCTTTATCCCAATTAAAATTTGCTTCCAATGACGTAATTAAAAAAATCATAATCATTTAATTAAAACTATATCAGAATATAACTCGTTATCGCTAAAAGCGTGCATTTCTTATCAGTACAGAGCCCCGAAACCCTTATCAATCACAAACCATCTTCCCGGTTCAGATCCGGGGGGACTTCCACCCTCTTTTGTTTGCATGCGCCTCAACCTCCTGGCGCCACCGGCTCCACCGGCTCCACTGTTCCAGAACCGGTATATTTTAACTACTCACGTTAATGAAATAAAAGACATTTTTAACATATTTATTCACCTTTAAAAGCAATAGAATTTCCATCGTTATTGTGATTTTTTACCAGCATCATTTCTTCTAAACCAAATTTGAGACTCAAAAATTGTATTAATGCTAATATGTTAAAGGGGTCTTTTCAAAACCAATGAAAAGCTCATTTTGATAATATATTGTCGCATAATGGAGGATCGAAAAGAAGCAGAAGGGATAGGTACAGGTCAACCATTTTGCTTTTAAACAATACCGTAGAGCATGTTGTAGTATCTGAAGGGGATTTGGAAATTCAGTCATATCCACCCTACTTCCCTCACCTTGCACCATTCAGTTATAATCTGGGTCTCTACCTTGAAAAATATTATTGAAGAAAAAAATTCTACAATGAATCCACCAAGGTCTTTCAAGGTTTTCACCTTCAAAAATGAATCCCTTTACACAATTTTCCCTCCGGCTAGTAAGAGAACATAAGCAATGACAGAAACTCTATTGCTTAGTAAATAAAAAATCAATGGATATTGAAAATGTATAATTTTCTTACTTTCAAAGCGCAGACAGAATTGGCCTTAATAAAGTCAACACTTGTGTTTGACCAAGTTCGTTATTTTCCTTTTGGTTTCAGAAATACAGCATACAAATTTTAGCTGTTATTTTTATAAAAAAATATCCCTAGAATCTTTATTTAATCTATTTTGTATAAGATTTACCAGAAAGTATTGAATGTGTGTCGAGTGGCTAAGGATTAATTCATAGAATGGGATCAAAAGAAAAGAATTGCGCCAATATAATATTTCCGCTTTGTAAAAATTGATTGAGATTTACGATATTGCGAGCCTCATTTCTATCGAGAGATACATAAAAAAAGAAGAGAAAACCCATTGGATCAGCTGCAAGTTGATTCGATTAGGCCTTGCGAACAAAAGGTAAAAAAAAAAGTTCCGAGTGAAGGAAAATCATCCCCAAAGTTGAGTGCGAACATGACACTGCTTCCATGGAAATGAGTGATAATGAGCCTTCAGAAGGGATGGTTTGAGGTCACCTACGAAATACTAGAGCAAGAAACAGACAGTAATGGCTTCAGAAAGAGGTTTCGGATTTCCAGCATGAGACAACCCTAGTCAACCTTCAAGAGTTCTTTTTAGAATTGGAAGCAGGATTTATTTTTTGAAATAAACTAATTGCTCACATTCCAAGACTTTAGGCTCGTCTTTTTTGTGAAGAATTTTCGTTATCTTTAAACTATAGCTATGAATGCATTGCCATAAAATCATTGATATTTTACTCAGACCCATCCACTAGGACCTCCAGGGTATTGGGTATCAGATAAAGTTGCATTCCTATGTTTTTCTCATTTATTTTGGAAATCATTACTCAGATTTTACCAAACGGTACAAAGAGAGAGGGAGTGAATATTAGCGTAGCGTTATTCAGCTACTCGAGTGCTTTTGGACATTTTGAGCCTCGGTGAAGTGGCGAGGACATGACTAGAGCTGGCAACCCCTCTCCTAACTTCCACACCAAAAGGGGGGGGGGCTTTTGACAGATTTAACGTGTATTACCCCCCTTTAGTGGTATACCTACAGCACAATCTTGTCCATAGACAGATATTTCACTCATTTTTTCTTCGCCACGCGTATTTGATATGCATTTCGTTGTTGTGTCTTTCCTCCTGGAATACATATGAAAGACGGATGGACAGAAACACAAACGATGATCCCAACGTAGAACAGAAAAGGATTTCCATTCGAGACGATTTCAAGCCAAAGTCCGACTTTTCCCCCCCGAAGATACGTCCATACCTTAGTCGGGATTCGAACCCGAGCCCACTCGATTACAAGCCGAGTCTTGTAACCACCATAGTGGTGGGGCGGCAAGCAATTCGTATGGCTCGATAATGTTATACGCGGAATAGGAATGGTGGCCAAATAATTTTTGTTTTGTGCATTTGCTTTAAGTGTTTACAAAATATCAAAACAAATCTTATATTATATGAATATGGGATCCGAATTTAATTAAGTTTTTCATACAAAAATTACTAACTTGATTTCATTGTCTTCATGTAGACTGGTGTTATAGGATGTTGTGCAAAATTTTTAAATAAAGTATAGAAAATTATACTTAAATATGAATAGTTATATGAACTCTTGAAATTAAAATAATTTCATTCTATTCTTAACACGGGAAGAAAAATCTAAATAGAAAAAGCCATAGAAACTATGGAAAACCATAGAAAAAAATTCATTCATTATATTTATAAAATCTTTAATGAAAACAAATTGATAATATATAACAAATAGCTGGATGGGATTAATTACTTATTTAGTCGTATCAAAAACAAAAATATACATCATGAATTGGCAGTTTATATAATCCAAACCTTTCTTTCCAAAAATTACAGAAAGAAATTTTTAAAAACACCAATTGCTTCTTTTACACCTTGAGGGTTTGATATTGCCGTTTTATTACGGATTAAAAATAAACCATTTGAATTTTTTCTCACAACGTTTTTTAGACTTGGAGCTGAAATTCTTAAAACAGGCCGAGTACAATTTTTTATCTTTGTCCTTAATTTTTTTTCCCAACGTTGCTTCTTTTGGACAATTACTAGCAAAATGAGATCTAGGCTTAGGTTTTTTTTTTTCTTTTACCAATTTTCCTTAAAGACCTAGAATTTAATTTTTGAAATAGGTCAAATGGAAATCAAAAATTACTCCCATGACGTTTTTTGCAGAAGCTACGCAATCAATGTTTTCACAAATAAGTACATTGTTCGCAAATGAAGGTTCTACGCAAATAAAACACGCTCTTCAAGATGTGTTCATACAGCTTCCAATTATATTTTCAGTTTAAAAATCATGGAGATATTTCAATAAATTGTTCAATAGCCATCAATAGGGCGCAGGATGCTACCCGTATTAGGCTTACGCAATGTTATTTGAAACTCACCCAAAATACTTGTTTCTAAAAGCAAATTCTGATGTTAGGCTTCAAATGAAAATGTACACAATTAAGAGACAAGTTGATAATATAAAAGGAAATTACTTCGAATGAAACGCACATTACTCTATATTCTTATATATAATTTACTTTTTTCACACTTTCTCTCTTTTTATATTATCTATACATTGAAGTATATTTATGAACAATTATTTTCTTATACAAATCTGTTCTCGGCGTTGTTTTGAATCTTGTATGTATACTATTTAGAGAAACATTTGGTTGTTTTAATGATTGAAATTGTTATAAATTAATTTTATATAGTACTTTTAGATTTATAACATACTTCGAAGTAGACTATTTTTTATACTGTAGGTTTGTGGAGATTTCGATTTTTACAAATTAACTTAAAAATAATTTTTTTAAAAAAAAATCTGGTTTAAGATTCCGAGAACTTCCATACTTGGCAAACACGACTAAACGAAATCTTTCTTAATTAAACTAAATGGTTGTCAGTCTTAATCATCGAATCCTTTCAAAACACATAACAAAATTTCATTCTTTCAGAAAAAGATAGCTTTTTAATTGAAATTTTGTTTATGGTTGGAAATGACTCAATGGAATAAAATTAAAATAGTTGTTTTGTATGCAAAATTTATGTATATATATATTAGTTATGTGTGTGAGAGAAAGTTGAGTTATATTTACGTCGCTCTATAAAGCTGCTCGAGGGCAACGGACTTGGTAATTTTGACAAGTGATGAGGATGACACCAGCTCTCCTAACTTACACACCACACCAACGGGAGGACGTTTAAGTTAACGTGCGTAACACTAGGCTCGAACTCATGAAACGAGTTCGTGACCTTGACCCCTAAGCTACCTTGTCTGTTAAAAATAGATAGAATGAATATTCCATCAAAATATTAAGTTGGAATGAACCTTAGATTCTAAATGCGACATTAAAAAACAATCAATCCATACCTATTCCTATGTTTCTCTTATTTCCCTTGAAATCCTTTTAATATATAGGAACATTTTTCATTGGCTTAGAAAGGACTGCTTAAGAAACCAAAACAAGATGGAATTCATTTGTATCCTAAAATGTTATGCCAAATCTACTTTTTAACCTCCATATTTTTTGAAAATATATGTAGTGATTTTGTTAGTAGTTGTGTGTGTGTGCACTCTTTAATAAACAAACATTTTTGGTGAAAGGTTATTTTGATAAAGCTTTGTGGTGATAAGAGTTAGACGCTTATATGCATTGTGTGATGACGTTGCGGTTTTCACGAGGTAATTGAAGTATGTCTGATAATTATCAGTGACGCCTTAGAATTTCTTGAGGCCTCCCCCTTTACAAAAGCCGGATCCACCTGCAACTCTTTTAAGTAGACAGTATATAGCATACATTGTTGAATGCTCGTATAAACGGTAACACGTCACAAATAAATGTGCGTGACTCCCAATCTCACAAACCGACTTGACAGACTGTCGCCTTTCGAGTAAATTGGTGAATGGTGGCAGAACATAATAATGCAGTGTTTCTATTGTTGCCAGTTGGTTCTAAATCTCCTATTTTTTCGAAGGTAATGCACAGGAATAATATTTGACGATTAAAATCATTCAGATCATGATCTTATTGAGGCCGAGTCAAGAATGAGATAAAGCTTCTCCGAAGCCAAAGCCCTGGGCCTAGTCCCAGTGGGCCTATGCCTTAAAACGTTCCGGATAGTAAGTCGTAAACGCGTCTCGCTGGCTGCAAGTGGTGTCTTTATAGGAAATAAGTACAGTGATTCGTTTTTTATGGTCAAAAAGGAGTGACTGCACTGAGATTTATTAGCAGTCCCATGCTTTGGTACAAATACAAAGTTACGTCAAGTTATCGCAAAGTAGTGCTAAAGGTTTCAGCTCGAGCGTATAAATATTTACAGCTCTGGGAATAAGGAAAAATCATCAAATGCGACAAATTCTGAGATCGCGTGAATGAATTCCTCCTTGCAAAGAGACGTATATCAATATATGAAATCTCAAGCGAACAGGATATTTTTCAGGAATGTGTACATAAATTTACTACCGAACAGCTTAAATTTCATAAGGTTTGTTCTCTATGGGTGCCCTGTCTATTGAAGGAGGAAAATAGGGAGAAGTGTTTTGAAAGAGCATTTGCGTTTCTGGAATGTTACTAAAAAGAAGAAAATACACTACTGGCCACATAAAATGCTGCACCAAGAAGGACCAGAAATATCACAACACAATTTATTTGGCAGATTACATGTTGCAAAAATATCAAAAGATTAAAATTACAGCCTCTTGCTGCAAACTGCATCGAATGGTACGAATGGACACTGAATGATGCGTGACAGACTTAATCTGTTGTGCTATGGTTCGTGATGTGGTAGAGCGATCCAACCCTTCCATGTGCACAATCCGCCTGTCATCAAGGGCAGTGGTGTAACGAGGTGGGCATGACTGGACCGTCGGTCCGTCGTTTCCTCCTGCAGCCAGCGATAATAAATCCTCATCACAGTTGCTTGATTTATTCCAATTGAAACGCGTCTATCCGCGAACCTTCAACTATCTTGGGGGTAAATTTATTTCTTTGTAACCCAGTACTTCTCAAACTTTCAATACTGGCTTTTCAATCACAATTTTTATCGCGCCCTCCTTATACATTAATAATATACTGAATGCAATAATATTGCACTTTTTTTACGCTAAAGCTACAATACGTGATCTTAATTATAAACCATCCAAATTAATAACATAAGTATTAACACCGAGCATCGAAGCAGGACCACGTTGCCTAGCCGATTTGGTCAAATTAAATGTCGCTGCAAATTATTTCTCTAATTTTTTTAAATAAAAAATTTTGTTTTTAAAATATCAATACAAATTTTTGCAATAAAAGTTATTTATTCTATGTTGACATTGATTTTGAAAAAATATTTGTGGGTCATCTTTCAATGTAGATAATTTCTCCTGCAACTCAGTGTTTTAGCTACTTCCTTCCATCTCCATATATTTTATGAGTTGCTGATGCTCAACTTTTATGCAAGCAGCAGCAGATGTGCTGTTGGCTTTCTGAACACTGTTAAGGTGTCCTTGAGAGTTCTGGCTGTTCTTGGAGTTGCCTTTATATTGGCTTCATCTGTTATGATTTTCTTTATTCCTGCATTTTGTAATCTGTTAAATAAAAATTACATGTTTAATAGGAATACAAACTAGTTCTTAAATCAGAAAAAACCTATGAATATCTACTTGGTCAAATAAAAAAATTCTTTTTGTTTCAGATAAGTAACACCTATTTTGTGTCTTGATTCACAATAAATTAAAAGTTTATTATTGCAATTACTCAATAACAGTTTACTTTATACTAAACAGCTTGATGGATTTAAAAAAGTAAATGATTACTTGGATCGAAATTATTATGGAAAAAGCAAAACTGATTTAAATTTTGAAAACAAAAACATTTATTAAAATATAATTTTTCTATTTTTATACTAAATTCATAAACTTATTTCACACATGATAATCTGACCACGTTTGTAAGAATGGTCAGATCATAATAAGAAAAAATATACAATGTTTCACCAAAAACCAGAAAAAGCTATAGACTTATCTTTTGGCACCAACAGCTCATTACCACAAATAATCAAATATTTTTTTATCTAATCTATTTGTCATGAAAGTTTTCATAAATTTTATATTAATGCATTTGAATAACAAAATATAGGTTGACACGTTGAAATATTTTTGAGATTCTATTTGAAAGAAAAATATTATAACTTTTAGTATAGGTAGAAGAGAAAGCTTTTTTACTTCATCTCTACCGGATCAGTTAAACATCTACAGCAAAATTTTCTTTAATATTTTTTAATGTTACATAATACTATTTAATTTGTAGTTTAAAAGAAACTTATGAACC